TGGCTTTTCTCTACATACATTGCTTTTACTATGTACCTCGACATAGTGTGTGTGTATATATATATATATATATCAAAGTGCATAGCAAATTAAAGCTATATATGTATCTAGTAAAACCAAACCGTCTGATAATTTGGAATGGAGAGGGTAGTATTTTGATTTAAATGAACAAGTATTTGTGGTTAGGGAGTACTTCCTTGTACATCTATATATATTGCCATCTCAACTGTGCTAGTTCCTTCTATCCAAGTAAGGTGGATGGAAATAAAACTTGTTTCTCTTCATGGGTTTACAATGGTTGAAACTGAAGTGTAGGATAAAAAAAAAGAGTTCACTAATCACTACAAAATCACAGACAACAGATACCAGAAGTAAGTAGAACCGGGCTCGATGATTTTTTTTTGCACGCTTACCAGCTTCCTTTGGTTTCCGTTGTTCTTTTACAGTGTACTCCGTAGCAGGCTAGCTGCTGACTGTCCTGTACTCGTAGCAGTTGTAGACGCGGGAAAAGCGCGCGTACGGGGTACGGCAGGGATATACTTGGCCATGCAGCCTGAGGCCCGGTAGCCCGGCCCACGGCCCGCTAATTTGACCCGACACGAGTCCGGCCCGGCACGAGGGTCTCTAGGCCCGGGCTGGCCCGGCACGCAACTTCTGAGCCGTGCACAGGCGTCGCATAAGCCCGCTGGCTGGCTGTACGGCCCGCACATGTAATAATGCGCTGCTTCGAGGTCGGCGGCGGCGGCTCCCATGGCGGCCGCTAGCGGCCAATGACCAGCGGCGCTTTGGCCTCCGGCCCCCCCCCGCCATATAAGCGGCGGCGGTAGCGCCCCTCACAAACCCTAAACCTAAATCCCGATTGACTCCTCTCCTCTCCACTCTCCAGTCCCACTGCGCCGCAGCCGTCGCTCGCACACTCTCGCCTCTGACCCGATCTTACGCCTCGCCCGTATGGCCCAGTATCCTTTGTGCCGTCGTCGACCCGACTCGGTGACCTCGAACCCGCCGCTTGTGGCGTGCTCCCCACCCTCTCTACCTCTCCTTCTCCCTCTACCTTTCTCCCTCTAGATCTCGGTGATTATGTGAGTTTGTTGACCCGTTTGTCCCTCCTTCGCGCGCTCGCCGTCCTTGCTTGACCTTGTGTCGTCTTCTCAGCCACGGGCCGTCGTCGTCTTCTTCTCTCCAGCACGGGCTCCGTTTATGAAGGTAAGCACCTAACCCTAACCCTAACCTAGGCTAACCCTAATCCCCATCTTTCTTCTTTTTTTTAATGAGATCTCTAAGCGATTTATTCCTTCCTCCTTCGTAGGGTGGTGGCGATGATTCAAGCTCTAGGCTGCGGCATAGAGCGAGGAGCAAATGGCCACCCACACCGTTAGTCACGGTCTTTGGAGAGGCGGCCATGGTGAAGGCGATGGCGAGCTTCCGCTTTGGCATGGCCCCCGAGGCGAGAACGACGACGACATCCGTGATGACGGCTGCTGCGTTGTTCGGTGTCGATCTCGGAGCAATGACGGTGGTGAAGGGCGGCGGCGTCTGAACCCGGTCGGCTCCAACTCCAACGGCTCTGTTCCATCATTCTTCTGCTTCTTTGGTAATGGTAAGGTTGGTAGCGCCAAATCTCACATGCGGGATGATTTTGAAGAGATATTTGAGGCTGTGAATGGAGTCTGATTTGCACTAAAGCTAAATGTAAAATATGTAAGTCAACCTTATGCGCTAGATCTAGTCTTGCCTTTGGTCACTTGAAGAGGCACGAGAACTCTTGTAGGCGAAAACCGATCAACGTGATAGGGTTCAATCTAGGCTATCTTACAATCACGATGGTTACGTGCATAAGCGGGATTATAAACTGAGGTAGCTAGAACCTGAACTCTGCAGATTGATTGCTGAGGCTTGATTTGCCTTTGGGTATTGGTGATATAGATGCATTTGAGGAGTACATTCAACGTGCTCATAACCCTAGGTTTCATGAGGGTGTCTAGACAGATCCACCACTAGAGACCTTCGTGCTCTATTCTTTGAGCGTCGTAATATGCTTAAGAATCATATTTTATGCGGTGCATCATCTGTTGCTTTGACATTTGACATATAGTGCGGAAATGCTAAGGAGGACTACATTAGTGTAGTTGCTCATTATGTGAGTCTTGATTGGGAGCTACTGAGAAAAAAGGTAATTGGCCTCGGGTTGATTGAGGTGAAGCACCTTTGGTGAGAACATTTTACGAAAAAATTGCTTGTGTGGTTAGAATTTGGTATGATTGACAAGATTTATTACATTACTCTAGACAATGCTTCCTCCAATGCTAAGGCAATGGAGACTTTGACACCATGTTTGCATGTTATTTGGGTTACGATCCAACACCTACTTCATCGAGATCCTAATAAGCGTAAATATAATCTTATGCATCGTTGTGCTTGCCATATCATTAATTTGATTGTGAAATCTGGTTTAAAGAGATTTAAAACTTACACGAGAGGATTTTAGAAGCTATTTGTTAACTTCTTAAATTCATCTAATCATAGAATTGACATGTTTAAGAATTATTGCAATGCTCAGGGTGTTAGACCTAGAAAGTTTGGTTTAGATATGGATGTGAGATGGAATGCTACATACCTTATGCTTAAACACTTGCTACCTTACAAGGAGGTTTTTTACTGTGTTCATTAATGCAAAATTTGGGCTGCACATTGTTGACTCCAAGACATTGGCTCATTCTTTGCCAAGATATTGGAGTTCTGGAATTATTTTATGAATCAACATGTGTTCTATCTGGTGTTTACTATCCAACTAGTCCACTAATTACGCACCATATGCTTGACATTGCTCATCATTTGCATGAAAGTGAAAAAGATCAAAATCTAATGGCTGTTGTCTATCCTATGAAGCTTAAATATCTTAAGTATTGGGAAAATATACCCTCTGTTATATTCTATTGCTTTCATTCTTGATCCTAGAGCTAAGTTGAGAGGTTTGTTTGTTTAATGTCTTTGGTAATACTTAAAGAGAACATTGGTGTTGATTACAATAAATATTATTTGATGTTAAAACTGAAATTTACAAGTTATTTGCCAAGTATGACAAGTATGGTTCTACAAGGCCTCAAAGGCTGCACATCCTATGATCAACTTAGGTAAGAGGAAACAAGCATGGGGAATGATCTTTGGCGGCCCTGGATCATCAGCTATTGTTGGTCCTCCTCCCCCTGCCTCTGTCTCCACTTCAACTCAATCTGCTGCCTCTGTTGCTTGTGAGCTCACAACTTATACGGATAGTGACAATGTCACTTTGCATATGAGGATGATTTTGATTTGCTTCTTTGGTGGCGTGACCACAAACTAACCTATCTGTTCTTTCTATAATAGCAAGAGATATTATGGTGTTCTGTTTTTCTTGTCTCTTGAATCATGTTTGATTTTAACGGGAAGGATTATTGAGAGCGGCGCCGAAGACTTACGCCTAAACATGTGGAGATGCTTGCTTGCATCAAGGATGGGGGGTGGGTGATAGAAGACTTCAACATTCTGCTGACAACCAAGAGCTGGCAGAGTCCTTTGAGAATCTGTATCTTGATGTTCTGAAGATGGATCTGGGCCTCCTTACGCTAGCACATCTACAAGTGCTTCCGCTGTTTCTACGCTTACTGCTTTGCTACGAGAGTGAGAGTTGAGAGTTCGGTTTGAGAGAGTTGAGATTGAGACCTGTGAGGCTTGAGAGTTGAGACATGATGCTTGTATCTGGTATTTGTATTGTGAACATTTGAACATTATAAGAGCTGTGCTGCATTCTTTTTCCCTTTCTAGGGTTTCTCACAAGGGTGAGTTTTACCCAAAAAGGTTTTTAATGAGGCAGCATTGCACACAGCTCATTTCTATCTTTAAATCTCTGTCTTTTGTTGTGTTTGAGTCTTCTTTGTTAAGTTGTTAAATAGTTAAGTTGTTTTTGTGATTTGTGAATGACTTGTCAAAATTATGAATGTCTTTGTTGATTAAGAATCGATGAGCGGTTTTCTACATTTCGAGTTGTGGTTCTGGCACGCACGGCAATTCGACCGAGTAGTGCTTGTTTTTGTCAGCAGCAGGGGCACGAGGCCGGTGAAAGCACGACACGGGGAGGGCGGCGTGTGCCGTGCCGCCCCGACACCAATGAGCCGTGCAGCCGTGCGGCCGTCGTCTTGGCCGAGGCCGACCCGATGGCCATATATGGGCAGGGACGACGATCATGTCACCGATCAAAGTAGCTGCCGACTTGCTTATATAAGTATGAATTTTTTTACTTGGAGAGGCGTCAGGAAGTGTTGGCTGTGTCTATGATTAGTGAGCCCGTAAGAGGGAAAGCGTTGAGAGGCGTCAATGAGGGAGGCGTTAGATGTGTCTATGGTCGGTGGGCCCATATGGCCGTAACACCTCCCAACGCCTCCAAAGTTTAGAGGATTATGACTTCAAATAAAAGAGTGATAATTGTTTTTTTTGGTTATTTTTTTAATTAAGGGTAAAACGGTAAATCTATAAATGTAAAAATAATGTTTTAAGTAGTATAGTTGAGATTTACATTAGTTAGATGAAGATGAATATTTTAGTCTGTTCATTCGCCGCTATCTCCGTCTGTGTGCCGCCGTCGTTGTCATCAGGCGGTGTTCAGGGTCGGGTCGGAGGATGCGGCGTCAGAGGGGGTGGGGGAGGAGGGAGAGGTGGGAGGCGGAGCGCGCGGCCGTCTCCCGCGGGGACGCTGCGTGGGGGCAGGGTCGGGGCGACGCCGGCGCGTTCGTCGGCGGCCGACAGCCCCTGGGCCGGGAGCCCTTTCGGGCTCCCCGGCGGCATCGCGCCGATGCCGGCGACCTCGGCGTCCATGCCGCATTAGTTATTCTGCCGCCCATTCCCGCCGCCGTCTCCGGCCAAGCACATCAAGGAGTCCCTCGCTCGCCGGCTAGGCCGTCGCTCGCCGGCCTCCGCGTCATAGGTGCCCAGGCCGCCCGTCGAGGTCCCGATCCTTTTCGCACATGGCAAGAGCCTTGGCCGCCGTTTGGCCGCTCGCGAAGGGATGCATCACCGGCAGCGTGGTCGGCATCACCGTCGCCGACGGGGTCGCCTCCGTCGTCACCATGGATGGCGCCTCCATGCACCCAACCTTCTACCCGCAGCAGGCCGAGCGCGCTCTGGTGGAGAAGCGCTGCCACTACCGCTACGACTTCTCCCGCAGTGACGTCATCGTGTTCAGGTGAGTTAAGTCGGCGCCGCCCGCCCGCCTCCGGGTCCGTGGGAGTTTCTTGGATTGGTTGGTTGTTGATGTCGCTGATGTTGCTCGTCGCAGGTCGCCGAGGAACCATCGTGAGCTGATGGTGAAGCGGCTGATTGCGTTGCCTGGGGATTGGATCCAGATCCCGGAGAAGCAGGAGATCCGGCAGATCCCGGAGGGCCATTGCTGGGTTGAAGGGACAATGCCGCCCTCAGCTTTGACTCGAGATCCTATGGCCCTGTAAGTTATTCATCTCATTACTGGACACAACTACGTTATTGGCCTAGGATAAATTGCTTGTTAATTGCAAAAAGGAAGGCCTGGCTGTGTAGCTGTGTTACAGGATAAAAGCCAGTTGCTTACTTGGGTACCAAAGTGATAGTTTTAGTCGTTTATTCCTAGGGATCTTTTTAATCTTGATGAAAGCATCTTCATCTTTAATTGGCATCTTGATCACCGGAGGAATTTAACTTTATGCTTTGCAAATCCGAGCCATTGACACAATGCTATTTCATTATTCATATTTGTATCCCCATTAAAAAGTTCAAAGTATCAATTTCATTCCTTGTTTGTTTGTTGGATAAAACTAGCTTGAAGCCTTCAATATCTCCACTCCTGTTCATTTTCTATGATGATAGTTTCCTCATGGTTTATTATGATATGATATCTTGCAAGCCTTTTATTCTAATTTTAATAGCATAGGAGGCAAGTATAAAAGAGTAGGCCAGTGCCTCATTGAGCTTTTTCGGTTCTGAGTGTTCATATCTTTCTGTCCTTTAAAGAGACAAGCAAATGCCGCCCAGGCTCCAGCAGCACTCATTATGAAATACTTGTTTGCACAGTGTAGCAGATCGAGTTTCTAGGCATCTCTGATCTTGTAACTAAAACATCCAAAACACTTTATACCTGCAGGTTCCTATGGGTCTGTAGCAGGGAGGGTCACACACATAATCTGGCCGCCCCAAAGAATTGGCCGAGTTGACAGAAAAATGCCGAAGGAAGGATTATGCCACTGTGACCTTTTGTTAGGTTGGTTATCCTACATTCTTTTTCCATTCTAGGGTTAGGATAGCATTACGAAATTTGACTGGTTGAAGCCTCAAGATGGACTCCACTGTATGTGGGAGGGCAGTGAAACTAAGGAATGTGATACTGATGATGATTTTATATCTGATTGACAATCAATCTTCCTGTCAGAACCAATTGCAAGATTCTTTGAGAAAAGAACCAATTATAGGAAATGTCTGGTGAGAACCTTTGCTGCTTGCAGTTTTTGGAATCCTTGACATCCAGTTACTCCAAAATCGTTTTTATCGTTGGCTTGATATTCTGTTTCGTCCTGCCATAACTAAATCATACTCAACGAATAGTTGGTGCTACTTAAATTGCTTATTTGTTAGCCAAATACACATGGAGTATTTAAAATGTACACTCATTAGTAATTTATGTAATAGCGTTATCAATGTCATCAGTTTCAATTAGCAATATGCATTTTCTTTTGACAAATATACTGCTGTTCTCTTATCACCGGGTTCTACTGAAATGCTGACTCTTGATATGTAACTGCTTTCATTTGAAGGCACAAGCTCTTGGCAGCAGTCATTCTAAAGAAGAACCAAGAGTATGGTAGGCCACTGCTAGACAGGGCAGCAGCTCAATTTTCAGCAATAGTTTGATCAAAATATCTGAAGAACCATGTGCTTGGGAATCTGCATGGAGAAGCATATGTGAAAAGAACGATTCGGCATTTCTGATGTCAGAAAGCTATAGAAGCAACATGATTCACTTCAGCACATATCAATTCTTTTTCGGATTTTGTCCTAGTGATCGACGTTAACAGAAGTGTAGCATAGAAACTAAACTTGCTATGAATAATTAGCATGGAAAGCTTAGCCTTTTTGTCAGTTACTACAAAGGTAGGTAATTAACCAACCTTCTGTGTGTACCTAGTATTCTCGTTCTTAGCCTCTGCAGTGTATGGAATTCTGAATACTTAAATTGAAAGCAACAGTGAAGAACATGTCAACTCACATGTTTCAAATTAGAGATATACTAGGCTGAAAACAACTGCATTTGCAACTGAAAACCTTCGATTTCCATCAACCAAACCAACAATACCTACATAAGAGATAGATACGAATGGCACCGACGGATTGCTCACCTCGCTGCGAAGGTCGTGGAGGGTTCTAGACGCCGGTGACGTGGTGAAAGGCGGAGATCAGTGGCGGCGGTGGGTAGAGCTCAGGGGCGGCTATGGCGGTGCAGGCTAGGAGCTAGGGCTCGGGCCGGCTCCTTTAGGGTTCAAAGGGGCGGCGCGGTGCTCTGGGCCTAATCTTCATCTGCAGGCGCTGGGAACCTCGGTGGGCGCGTCTTGTGGAATAAAGGCGGCGGTGGATTCGCGCCGGTCGATCTGTGTAATGAAGGGAAGGACAGGTCGTTGACGCGTCTCGCCCGGCATGTGGTTCTTTGGGCCTATCGGCTCTGCGCGCCGTGATGAATCGAGGAGGGGGGCCAGGCGTGGTGGGCCTGCCCATCACGAGGTCGTGGCCCAACTAAGCCACGTGAATCTGGCGATCGACCATTTGCATCCGGTTTAGTCCCACCTCGCTCATTTGAGCAGCTAAGAACACTGACATAAAAGAAAATGAGAAGTACTGGGGATCGAACTCCTAAACTATACGATACCTACTCTCACTCGTCACTTGGGCCAATCGGTGGCAGCGGCTGGTTGGGCTCCCTCCATGGTCGAGCCCGACCTAGCTGGTGGTCTTGGCGGTGGCAACAAATTTTTTGCCACCATTTATTTTAAAATTTATTTTTTATTATCTACCGCTAGTGAGGCTATCACCATTCATATCCAAATTCTATGTATTGTATTTATTTTCACCCTCCACAATCTTTTCCTCATCCATAATCCATGCTAATTGTTTTGAGTTACACTACTAATTGCTAATAAAAACTGTTTGGCAAAGCTATTCCTAGATTTATCCTGGGGATATCTCAATATCGTGGCCACTGGCCACGCTTCAACTAACGACAAGAAAATCAGTATTGCCACGCTATTGGCGACATGCTAATAAGATGCAAGAAACAGAACATTAGAGCGCGCTGCGAGCGAACAGGCTGGCAGCAGCAAAAGAGCGTCGAGCATATCTGACAAATAGATTGGCCAGTATTTGAACGCTACAACAAACCTCATCAAGAGATTATCCAAACACGTCTAGAGGAGTCACACTTGTCATAGCAACTAGACAGGCACACACCACATGGACTGACTTCTGCAGTCACGCTGCAAAATAATTACTGAACTAAGCTGGTCACTTGCAGAAATACTGGCTGGTGGTGAGCTACCGGGTAGGGATCATTCCACACTGTACCCTCCCGTGACAAAAGGGCTGCCAAGTGACTAGAGCAGCCCAGCAACTGGTTTTAGATAGATAATGCAACCAGCTACATTAGCTTTCCTACATTTACATGGAAGTAACTAAAGCTTAAAATAACCACCCAAAAGCCGCTTCCAGCTCTACACGCTAAACTTTACAAGCCTCCTGCGGTCAAGGAAAAATATTCGGCTGATTAGTGCCCAGCAGCGCTGACCACTGTCCTCCAACAATCCCCCGAGCTCCAAGCTGCAAGCATCACACGAATTAGCTACAACTCAGACTGAGAATGCTTACATGTTCAGTTCGCCAGTAAGATCAGCATGTTTTTTTTTTCTCTCCAGAAAGCATAAGCGAGACGAGAGTACCTTTTGCTGGCTCCTCAATCCATGGACCGTTCATAACGTTGAGAATGCTGCAGGCATCGCTGTACTCCAGATCAGGTAGAAGCTTGGCCGTCAGAAGGAAGCATCTGCAGGCAAAAGAAGGGGGAGGTTATCAGATGTCAGGAGGTCTGCAGATCTGCATGCTGTACAAAGTGTTGAGTGCACTGTCACTAACTGTGGCGTGTTAATTTGGCTGGCAGCTCTGACAAGCTGCTGAAACATTTTCCTCTCGTTTATGGGGTCCATTCCTGCATATTCGGATGAATGCATTAGACCACCTCAATACCTACAGGTTAACAGTCATACAGTTGAGGGAGGAATGAAGCAATTCAGTTGTGTTACCTTGATTTATCTCATCAACAACCCGAAAGGAGCAGTTGGTAAGATCTTGAAGTGACACAAGATACAAGATGGTCGATACTGATCGCTCCTATGAACAGGAAGGAAATAATAATGACCATAAGTAGGTGAAGAGAAAAGGTTTCGCATTTGACTTTGACATTGTTGATCCTTCATACCCCTCCAGATTGGTCATGAGAGCTTAGCACCTGCAGCTGACTAGTTTGCTTGACAACCAACAGAGAATATATCAAAACCCTTGCTAGAAGGATAGCATAGGAAAAAAAATATCATTGATGACACTGTAGAACTAGTACTATTCCACTAATGGTCTTATATGGTCAGTCTCACCGATGGATGTTCTGAATATATTGGAGGTTGGCAAAGGTTATTCTTATAGTCCAGCAATAAATTACATACCAACAGTACAATGAACTAATAGGACTCAAAACCTATATTCGAAACTACTTTTTGTATTCATTCAACTAGAGGTATGAAAGCCCTCATAGGACATCAATTCGATTTGATTCAGCATGGCAAGAAAGCATGTACTTTCAGGTGCAAATGACTGGCCATTCTCAATTACTGGATAGCATGCATGTCTAAAGTGCAGTTTCACATGTGAAGCAGATAAGAAAATGCTGGGATAATGTAGATTGAAGCATAAACTTAAATAAATCAAAATTTACTGAAATTCCCCAATCCGGCGCCTCAGCGACAACACACCAAAACGGCAACACCACAAGCGTACAGGAGAGGGTACCTCGAGGCCGGCCTCGGCCTGGAGGGCGGCGAGGGTCTGTGAACCCAGCGGAATCGAGGAAAGGCGGCGACGGAGACCACCGTGGCCCTCGCGCTAGGGGCGGGGCGGTGGCGAGGCGAGGCCGCCCGGCGTGATCTTTGTGCCAGGGCGGCGGCTAGGGCGAGGAGAGAGTGACGTCGTGCCCCTTGGCTGAGGGGCGGCTGACAGGTCCAGGTCCGTGCCGTGACATTGTCTTGAGGCGTGACAGCTGGCTAGGGCAAGGAGAGAGCGGCGTCGTGCTATTGGGGAGACAGGCGGGTTCGGCGTGGGGTGGGGTGGGGAATCTGGCGGCGGACGTGCGGGATTGGAGTCAGGGGTGTCTTGAAATGACCATAATGCCCTTGGGACGAATAAAATCAACAAAAAATAGCTATTTTAGGTAGGCATCACGAAGCATCAGCAAACGTTAGGAAGCATTTCCAACCATTGTAAAAGGGCTCATATAAGTATAGTGCCCGTGCTAATGCCACGACTTTATTTCAGGATGCACATGAAAACAACCAAAGAGAGAGAGGAGTGGAAGCTGCTCCGAGAAGTCTGGCCAAAGTTTGTTTTATGGTTTGCTAACAAATCAAGCCCCCTTGCAATGACTCCCAAGTGCTTGTGGTCATAGGAGTATTGGTCCTGTAATTCAGTGAGTTCCAATTCCAATGTGATGTGAAACCTTGTAATTTTTAGTTGTTGATATGGTGTATTGAGAAAAGATACTTCCGTACAAGGATTAATTCTTATTAAAAATTGCAGTAAGAAAAAAATGCTCCTTGTGATAAAATAAACGATCAGGTATTCATCCATTATACTTTGAACTCGGCACTATAATAAGTAATAGTACCAGATTCTTGGCATCCTCATGATCTGTGGATGATGGATGTTCACATGAAGATATCTCATGATTACACAACAGTGAAAAAACAAAACTATCCGTTGTGTTTCCTTATCTGTTACAAAAAAATGCTCGATCTTTGCATATGCAAATGGAAGGCGGGGATCTTCATTCAGACGATTCTTTGCTTTGAGGGTGAGAAAATCTGTGATTTGATTTGTGTAGAAATCTTCTTTGGATGAGTTGTCGGGGCTCTGAAGCGTCTGGGAAGTCACACGCAAGAGATAGCCAAGTGCCTATATCGAGTTAGAGGCGAGGAATTGATGAAACTGAGAGAGCAAAACCATAGCCTGCTTTGCAGCCATCTAATTTAAGGAATATTATATTGCCCGTGCTATGGTTTGGTTTAAAAGTCCTTGTGATGCTGAATGTTGACATTACGAGAATTGCTGTATATTGACAATAAAATAGCAGTCTTTAAAAACAGTCCTAATAAAGTTGACACAAAATAGCAGTCTTTAAAAACAGTCCTAATAAAGAAGATGGAAATCTTGCAATTTACAAGTATTTTGCAGGTTAAAAATCAATTGCATGACAGATTGTATAGCTGCTTCCCACTAAAACTTATGATCTGTATATACCTGAGAAATGCATTACTTCCTTTTTTCCTTTAGGAGGTATCTCCTATGAAAATTACAAGTACAAGGTTCTAACCAAAAATGCTGTTAGAATTGTGATACATCAGGCGTTTGAACTATGAACCAACAACTATTTGAACACAAGGCACCTCAGAGTTGAATGTCAATCTTACTAAGCACTCAAGCTTTTAACAAAAAAAAGCCCTCAAGCTTTTAACAAAAAAAAATTACAGGGCTAAATATATAGCAAGGATCTTCAGAAACAAGCACCAGTTGAACTTAGGTCCCGCTTGGAACATGAAGATTTCACATTAAAATATTTTAAATTCCCTAGGAATTTATACATAGCCTAGCTACTTCCCAAGTAAGATGGATATGAGCAAGACATCTTACTACACTGATGCATATTCTGGAGGGGTGATTAGTGATGGAGTTGGGTACTTCTACTCAATGACTTGGGTGATCACATCAGAATTAGCAATCCATTTGCTATCACCACCGTTATACACATGCACCTTACCCTCTGGGCTGTTCTCCAGAAACCTGAAAAAAGGTTCTACAGTAGGTTAGATGTGAAAATCACAAACACACAAAACCCCCGAGTCCAAATGGGCTAAACTACACCCTTGGCTCACTGAAATTTTCAGAAGCTGCAAAATCTTCTCCCATATTCAATTTTTCAGAAGCTGCAAAATGTTCTTCCATCTTCAAATTTAGAAAAGTCATCATAAATTTAGATGAAAGGGTGTATAATTCCAGAAGTGCCAGCACAAACTGAGAAGGTTGTTTAGGTCATTTGAATATTTCATAATTAATGGCTTGTACAGAGAAAAACTTCATGCCTTCTCCAATGCCCCTAAACTGGCTGTGATCCAATATATCATAATTCCATCCAGTAACATGTAGGTTGCATCAATGTGAAGCTAAGACTTACTCAACTCTGTAGAGCTAATACCGATGCCACCATAGCCTGCTGCAGACATCTAATTTAAGAAATGCCATATTATTTTTGTGAAACAAACCTAATAGCTCATCCCTGCATAGTACAGCAACCGCCAGTTAGATACCCCTCACAGCAAGTTAACTTAAATTCACAAAAATAAATCTAATACAAGGTATGAGGGGTTACTCAGTTAGTACTTGTAGCCTGACTCTTGCTGCAAGAAAAAAAGCAAAACAGAGATAGTTCTCATGGCTGTGTACATGTTTGGAAATATTACTTACCACTCATCACCAGTTCACTACATCTTTATATACAATATTTTTGGTGCTCTTGCTTGTAGAATCCAGTACCTTGTTTGGTTTCAACAAAATTCTGGTTGTTTGCCTTGAAACTCCCCTTGACAAAGTGACATAAAGTTGTCCATGTGAGAACACAGGTTCTCATATTTTACAAGAGATACTTACTTATAAATCTAATCATCTTATAGCTCGCCAAGAAATACTTAATGCTACGATCTGGGAAAAAGAGTGCCTAGATGCAACATTTGGATGGTCTGCCCCTGCGTTTTGTTTATGGTCATTGCAAAACTTAAGCGAATCGGGAATTGTTTCCTTCTCATTTTGAAAGGCAGTGAAATATCATCGGACTGAGACATTGTAATCCTAGGTAGGTGTTAACACTGGATTTTTGTCGACTTCGGAAGATGACAGGTGGACCCGCATACAGGAAGAAGGACATTCGGCAAACAAAACGAGCGGTCGGCTAAATGCTTGTGCGGTCGGTTACTTCAGAAGGTGGTGACTCCATTCGGGAAAGCAGAAGATGGCAAGCAAAGCCGATCGAAAAGATGAAGGTCGTAATAATAAAGGACTCTGAGAGTTTAGGGCAAGGAATCGTAGTTTCCAAGTTTGTTTAAGAGTTCCTTTGTAAGTCGTAGTCTTTTAGGACTCGTGTTTTGTCTAGGGTATAAATATTGACCCTCGACCATTGTAATAGGGGTTCACAACCAAATCAATACAACCGGCCCCGTGCCAACTTTCGAGTCCTTTTGTCGTGTCGTCGAGTTCTTCGAGAGGAGTCATCGATCCGTCGACCTCCGTAAGTTCCAACAACCTTGTTATCATGTTTAGTATCATGCGGTGGATTTAGACGTGATGCAAGTAGTCTTGTTTGTTTTCAATGATCGTGCGGCGGATCTTTGTTTGACAAGCAAGAAGTCTTTGCTTATGCTTTGTTTATGAGTAGAATCCGTATGCGGTGGCGTTTGCTCAATATGCTTAGTGGAAGCAAAGGCAGGTTATTGGCTCTATTAGATACGGCAAAATCTAAATAGATTCATTAAGTTATCTGTGTTGCATGTTTTAAATATTTTATATATTTGTAACACACTTACGCTTAATCTAGATTGATATTGTTCGGCCCTCTCTTATGATTTTATTCGTGCTTCAATGATCATTACTTTCGTATTACCTTTGCAAATAGATAACATGCTCGTAATGGCTGAATTATTTTAATCTAGATTGTCACATGTTGTGGGTTCATGCATGTTAATTACGTTTAAGCTTTGACGAAACTAGGTGTCGTCGTGCGGCGGATGCTGAGTTTTAGATTAGTTTAATCGTGTTTATTTGCACGTTCCTTCTTCATGGACCCCAACTCATTTGAATTCTTTGAGCTTGGTTATGCATTAACTCATGATTA